CCAAGCACCTTCAGGAACCACCTCTGAGCTCTGTCCCTGAGAACAGCCATAGCACAAAATATAAACAAACAGTTGGGGGCTAGAGAAACAGCTCCAAGGACCCAGATTTGATCCCAGCCACTGCAAGGTACCCCAAGTACCACTGGGAGTGACACTAACGCTGAGTGTATTCCCCCAAAAAATTTCCTTTATTTTTTTATAAATGTTTGTTATACTAAGATTTACCGTGGATAGGAACCAGATAGAGTACAGCAGGCAGGCCTTACATGCAGCCAACCTGGGTTCAATCCCTGACATCCCAATGGTCCCCCAAGCACCCACAGGAGTAATTCCTGAGCATCACCATGTTGGCCCTGAAGCAAAAATAAATATATATACAAAAGAGGAGATTTTGAATTTTAATCTAGCAGTGCTACTTATTACCTATGGGGCCTTGGACAAGTTGCTTAACTTCTCTACTTTTTCTTTAAAGGAAGAATAAGATTATGTAGGGCTGGAGAAACAGTATAGTGAGTATTTGCCCTGCATGCAGCCAACTCAGGTTTGACCCCTGGAGTGACTTATGATTCCACTGACCCCCAGATCCATCACCAAGAAGTGATCCCTAAGCACAAAGCCAGAAGTAGGCCCTGAGCACCACCAGGTGTGGCCCAAAAACAAACCCCCCTCCCAAAAAAAGATAATGTATTTGTAAATGGGCTGGAATGATAACACAGCGGTAGGGCATTTGCCTTGTGCGCAGCCAGCCCGGCTGAACCGGGTTCAATTCCTCCGCCCCTCTCGGAGAGCCTGGCAAGCTACCGAGAGTATTCAATATGCCAAACACAGTAACAAGAAGTCTCACGATGGAGACGTTATCGGGCCTGCTCGAGCAAATTGATGAACAACGGGAGGATAGTGACAGTAAAGTATTTAGCCTAATGTCTGGTACTCAGTCCTCAACAAACCATAAACCCATTAGCTCTTTGAAAAGAGGCAAGAAACTGTCAATAAATGTTGCTTCCAAGAAAATAACTTGGGGTCAGATGGAACAATCACATTTTTCTGTTTTTCATATTAACTAGGGTTTATAATACCTTTTCAAAGGCATTTTAAATTCCTGCTATGGGATTTCTCAATGTGTAACTTAATGTACTGCAAAGTTAAGTTGTCACTGCTAAATCAGCAAAGGAGTAAGTCATAGTCTAATAATACCCACAAACAGACAACCTATCTGATTTCATAAAGCTGCTAGGTGTTCTTACTAACTTCACAATAGCCATAATAACTCTAACTCCTTAAATGAGTAGTTTTTCAATCTGAGGTGGTTTTGCACCCCAGAATATTTGGCAAAGACATGTTTATTATCTGGCAGAGAGAGGCCAGAATACTACTATACCGCACAATACAAGCACCCCAAAATAAGAAGACCAAATGTCAATTATCATAAGACTGGAAAATTCTACAAACCACAGAATTAACTCTGTAAGTATTAAGTTCTTCATGAATTACCAAAGAACACACAAAAGTTCTCCTCTCAATAATGAAGTAAAATCCTGGAAGACTGGCTAGAGCCAAAGAGAGCACATGGGCTGAGGCACATGCTCTGCATTAGGAGGCCAGGATTTGATCCCCAGCAACAAATGGCCCGTCCATATAGTTAGAAGTGAGTAGCCCTTGAGCACTACCAGGTGTGACCCAAAAACTATAAACTGTAATTTAAAAACTATCAGAGTAGAGACTCCACATAACCATTTTACCTACAATTGAGTTTCTAAAACTTTAGCTACTAGAACCACTTAAGTTTTGTGTCAGTCAACTCAAAACATTAGGATTTTTATACCATTTATTTTAACCATCCAAAACTCCCAGAAGATTAATGTGATCAAAAAGTCTTTCCATGGGACTGGAGAGATAGCACAGCAGGTACGGCGTTTGCCTTGCACATGGCCGACCCGGGTTCGATTGCCAGCATCCCATATGGTCCCCTGAGCACCGCCAGGAGTAACTCAGGAGTGCAGAGTCAGGAGTAACCCCTGTGCATCACCGGGTGTGACCCAAAAAGCAAAAGAAAAAAAAGGTCTTTCCAGGGGCTGGAGCAATAGCACAGCGGGTAGGGCGTTTCCCTTGCACACGGCCAACCCGGGTTCGATTCCCAGCATCCCATATGGTTCCCCGAGCACCGCCAGGAGTGATTCCTGAGTGCATGAGCCAGGAAACACTGTTCATAGCCTGTGCATCGCGGGGTGTGACCCAAAAAGAAAAAAAAAAAAAGTCCAATGAGAAAAAGGGAAAAGTGCCTGCCGAAAGGGTAGTATGGGAGGTGGAACAAGAAACAAGGGACACTAGTGGAGGGAAGGAGACAACTGATAAAGGGATTGGCACTGGATCATTGTACATCTGAAACTCAATAATGAATAACTTTGTAATTTGATAATTCACAGTGAGTCACTTAAAAAAAGTCTTTCCAATAAACTTGTATATTTTGACCACAGTGGTTAAAATTTTAAGAAAATACTGGAGCCAGAAGGATAGTACAGCAGGTAGGGCACTTACTTGCCTTGAACATGAACGACCTAGGTTCAATCCCCAGCACCCCATTTGGTCCAAGCCCCACAAGGAGTGACTCTGAGCTCAGAGCCAGAAGCAAGCCCTGTGCGCCATTCGATGTGGCCCCAAAACTAAAAATAAATAAAATAAAATGTTAAAAAAAATTAAGAACTGAGACCAGAATGATTGTACAGTGGGCAGAGCACTTGCCTTGTACCCACCAACCAGGGGTTGACCTATGGCATCCCATAATGCCCACCCCCACCCAGTACTGCCAGGAGTGATCCCTGAGCACAGGGCGAGGAGTAAGCCCTGAGCATCTCCGGATGTGGCCCAAAAAACAACAAAAAAAAAAAATTTAATAATCCATTACTTTTGCAAGAAAAATAAATCAGCAGTTAACTTTAAGAAGGCTAGAAAAACTACCAACTAAATCACCTCCATTTTAGTGTACCTTATCAAAATCAATCACTAATAGAGCTTTGGTAACGTTTTATATAAATTATATCCCCCAAAATGAACATAAAACTGAATGGAATGGCCATCAAAATTTCGAGCTGGTTCATAAAAGGGTAAAAAAACACATTTTAAGTACTGTTACTGCTAACACTCTTATTAGTCATATTTTATTTTCTTAGTAATTGAAAATTTTCTAACATCTTTAAAAACATACATCTTGGGTCAATGATGTAGCTTAATGGTACAGCATTTGCCCAGAAAGTGTGAGGCTCTAACTTAAAGCCTCAGTAGAGTATAACAATACCCACGCCTCAGGACTGGGGAGCACTTGCCTTGCCAGTAGAGGTTTTGAGCATCTAATGGCCCCTGGGACAACCCTGATTAAAAAAAAAAAAAGGAAAAAAAAGGGTATAAGAGTGGAGGGAGGAGTAGAGCACTTGCCATGCATGCGTGGGGCCCTGGGTTCAATCCCTGGCACTGCAAAATAATTTTAAACACATATTAATAAATACACATCTCTCCTATTATGTAAGAACTAAATACTATATTAACACGTAGTACTTCAATAATTCACTAATAAACTTACTGATTAAAGAATTTCTAGGGAGCTAAAAGCGTTAACTCCTTCCTCCAAAACAAGAAGTCACAGAATATTAAGCAGCTGCAAAGATGAGAGGCACTAGGTCATTCCTACATTATCATTTCCAATCGTGTACACTGTTCCTGATGGATGCAGGCAAGATTAGAACTCCTCCACTCACGTCAAGTCCCTCCCCCTAAGCATCTAGAACTTTTAATACTTGTCCAAACCTGCTTGCTCATGGTCTAATAATAAACCTAATTATACAATCTGTAACAGCCACTGACAACCTTTTCCTTAAGAAGCCATAGAGGTGCTTCAACTAACACCTCAAACTCTTGGCCTATCTGTTTCAAAAATAGATCTCTTCGTTTCAGCTTCTGGCTCCTGCCGCGGGCTGCGGGCTGCCGGCTGCAGACGCGGGAGGCTGGGATCCGCCAGCGCCGAGGGCACACGCCAGGCGCCGGACGCAGGGGCGACCGCCGGTACGTTTCTCTTTAAATCTGGCAGCACGTGGGGCGGCATTGTGAAGCCTCCGGCCCGCCTCCCCCTCGCACTCGCACCGGCCGCCGCCTCCGCGCATGCTCCGCTCGCCGGTCCTGGCGGAGAGGAGCCACCCCCTAAAAAGTCAACCTGAAGCCGCAAACGGCCCGACGCCGGGACAGTGGGGGAGGGGGCGCGGGCGCCCGCGGAGGCAGCCCGGCGGCCGCCCGGCGCCCCGCACCGGGCTCGGGTCCCGGGCTCCCGCGGGCCTGGCGCGGGGCCGGAGTCGTGCGAGCACAAAGCCCGAGCCGGCCGGCCACCGGCTCTCCCGCGGCCCCGCTGCCACCCTGCCCCCAGCCGGGCGGCGCAGCCGGAGTCCGTGCCAGGCGGAGGCGGGCGAGGCGGCGTCCCGCACCCCCGCCAGGTTCCCGGACCCCGCGCCGCCGCCAGGCCGCGGAGGCCGGCGCTTTTGTTGTCCGCCGCAACTCCGACGCCGCCCGGCAGAAGTTTGTGCGCGCCTCACCCCGCCGGCCCGACGCCAGCCGCCCTCGCCCTCGCCCGCCGCCCGCCCCGCCGAGACGCCCCTTCCGCGGCCCCCGGCGCCCGCCGCCCGCCGCACCTGAGCCCGGGATCCGCCCTCCGCCGCGGGTCGCCGGGGCCGGAACCCGCGCCCTCCCCGCGGCGGCCCTCCGGCCGTGGGGGAGGGTCACTCCGACGCCGGGCCCCTCCGAGGCCGCGGCCGGGGCGCGTCCCCGCCCCCAACACCCTCGGAAAGCCGCGGACCGAGTGCGGCGCCGGCGGGACCGCGCCTCGGCTCCGCTCCCCGCAGGCCCGCGCTCGGCCCGCCGCGGCGCCCGCTCCCCGCGGCCGTCGGGCGTCCGGCCCGGGAGGGCCCGGGAGGAGGCGGCGGGCAGCGGCTCGCCGCACCGCGGCCCGCCCGCCCGCTCACCTGCCAGCTGTCTCCGCAGTAGCAGCGCCGACTGCAGCTCCGTCATCCTCCACGACAGGGCCCGGGCGGGCGCCGGGGCTTCCGGAGGGCTGGGGACAGGCTCCGCGGGCTGCTGGAGCCGGGGCTGCCGAGGAACACGGGCCCCGCGACGGGCGCGCCGAAGCCCTGAGCGGCCGGGCCGAGGAGACGCGGGCGCTGCCGGTGCGAGTCCGCTCCGCTCGGCGCTCCTCGCAGCGCCGCACGCCCGGAAGGGGAGGGCACCCCGGCCGCCGCGGCGCGCACTGGGACTTCGCTCGCCGGCCCCACCGGTGCCTTCCCTCGCCGCCGCTCGCTGCGCGCAGGGCCGCTCCGCGCAGGCGCGCTGGGCCCGTCCACTTCTGAAGTGGCCCGCCCGCCCGCCGCCCGCTCCTCCCTGCCCCGCCCCCGGCGGCGGGACCCCGCCCCTTGCGCGCAGCTGGCCCCGTCGCCGCCATCTTAGGAAGGTCGGCTCCTGGAGGGCTGCCAGAGCCTCAGCTGGTGACGCCCAGCGGACGCCATGACAAAGAGGTCGCGGAGGGTCAGGTCTTTGCCGCCTCGGGCTTGAAGCAGGTGGTTGGGGAGGGCGGGAGTCAAAAGTTGCCAGTATCTCGTTGTTGGTGGGCACCCAACAGCTACCCGAGTTAGTTATTCTTAAAAATCACATTTAGTCCTGTCGTGCCCCATTTTAAGTGAACACCCTCAAATAAACACATACACACATATATATATATGCTAATAATTCACTTTACAGAGAGACTGCACAGATTCCTGAAATAAAATACTCTGCATCTCATGGGATAAAATATTTAGACGGGCCGGGGCGATAGTACAGCGGGTAGGGCGTTTGCCTTGCATGCAGTGGACATGAGTTCCATCTCTAGCATACCGTCTGGTCCCCCGAGCACTGTCGCGAGTGATTCCTAAGTGCAGAGACTGGAGCCCGGAGTAGACCCTGAACATCGCCGGAGTGTGACCAAAAACGCCAAAAAAAAAAAAAAAAAACAGGCCTTGGACCCGGTGATGTTGCAGCAGGTAGGGTGCTTGCCTTGCATGTGTTCCACCTAGGTTCCATCCTTGGCAGCCATATGGTCCCTCAAACACAGCCAGGGGTGATCCCTGAGCACAGAGTGAGGAGTAAGCCCTGAGCAAAGTTGGATGTGGCCCAAAAGTTTTTTAAAATAAACAAAAATCATTACTATGAGTAAGTTGAGATTGACAAAATAATGTATGCAATTAAATATGAATCTAGTGTTGGCCTTAAGAAACTAGGAAACAACTTTGCTGCATTCCACTGTCTCTGTTTTTCTCCTAGCTTTCTATCTTACATAACAGACTCAATAAAGAGATGGGGTGGAAGAAATTGTAGTATCTAATGACATTGAAATATATCTGTTTCTCCAACAAATATTTAAAACTTGAAGCCAGAGATGTAATTTAGAGGCAGGGCATGAGTTGCTTTACATGAATGAGGTCTTAAATTTAATCTCTGCCACAAAAAAAAGTGCATTTATTTTTTAAACCTATATTGGGGTACCACACCCAGTTGGGACTGGAGAGAGTACAGCAGATAGGGCATTTTGGCTTGCACATGACTGAACGGTTTCAATTCCCTGAGCACCTCCAGGAGTGGCCCTTGAGCAAAAACCTGGGAATAGGCCCTGAGCACAGCCAGGTAGTAATGCAAACTCCCCAAAAAGTATGTTTTCTTCCCAGTATTATACACATGTACCAGGAGCCATGTTGGCTGCTCTGCTGTTTGAAACCCCAAATTCTGCAATGGAGTTTGTGATCTCTGTAGCCAGATGCATTTGAGCACTACCACTAAAAACATACCAGCACCACAGCCAGTAGTGGACTCCAGTGAGCACACAAAAAGTTTCACAATGAAACCCCACAAGCACTGAAGCCAGAACATACAGGTGAGCCCCACACCTAGAAGTTCAGCCTCTGGCAAGCGCTGGACCCCACTGGAAGCACCATGGCTGAAAGTGTAAGCACTGCAACCCTATGTGCAAGTGAACCAATGTTCAAACACCATGACCACGTGTGGATGTGACTTTGTGACTTCTCACTGCACCAACAACAAAGAGAAGGGAAGAAAGAGGAGGAGGAAGAGGAGAGGAGGAAGAGGAGGAGAGGAAGGAGGAGGAGGAGGAGGAGAAGGAGGAAGAGAAAGAAGAAAAGAGGAGGAGGAGGAGAAGAAGAAGGAGGAAAGAGAGAAAGAGAAAGAAGAAGGAAGGAAGGAAGGAAGGGAGGGAGGGAGGGAGGGAGGGAGGGAGGAAGGAAGGAAGGAAGGAAGGAAGGAAGGAAGGAAGGAAAAGAAAGAGAAAGGAAAAGAGAGAGAGAAAGAAAAGAGAAAGGAAAAGAAAGGAAGATGAGATATTACGACATTACCAGCTGGGGAATTGGCTCAATGGTAGAGCTTCATATGTGTGAGGACCTGTGTTAGATTCTGACAGTGCAAGATACAATATAGACTTTTTTTGTTGCTCAGGGGCTACTCCCAGCATGGTACTCCCAGCATGACTACTTGTTGCCAGGGATGGAACCCAGAGTTACCACATGCAAAGCACCTTTGAGTCCTTTGAGACGTTTTCCAGCTCTAACCAAATATTTTTCATTTTCTATTTCATTTTGTTGAGGGGCCCCACACAATAATGTTGCTCAGGGGGTTTAATACTCTGGGTTTTGTCTAGGTGGTACTCATAGGATCACATAGTGCTGGGGATTGAACTCAGGGCTCCCTCATGAGCTTAACCCTTTGAACTATCTCTCTGATCCCTGGGGGCTGTTTCTTAAAGCCTATGCTTTGAAAAACTACAGCAGAATCTCAGGCATAGGCTCTCTCACTTGAGCAATATTTTAGCCCTATATTTTCTTTCTTTGCTTTTATCTGGGGGGGTGATTTCCAAGTGGTGTTCAGGAGATTTTGGGGCTCCTCCCCGTGATTCTTGGCAAGTGGATCAGTAATTCAATGTGAGGGGCTCATAATGACCTGCCGCTCAGGCCCTGTAGGGCTAGGGATTACCTGGGCCACACCTGGTGGTGCTCAGGGCCCTCTAGGGCTGATCCCGGTGATCTTTGAAGGGCCATGTGTGCCAGAGATCAAATGTCTTCCATGCATTTTAATCCCTGTACTACCCCCCTGGCCCCTTATTTTCTTTTTTTGTCATTGTGTTCACAGTGAAGTTTGGTGGCATTTTTAGAGGGCGGTGAGAGAGGGGAGGTTGGGCCACACCGGGCCATGTTTAGCGACGATTCCTGGCTCTTTGCATAGGACTGACTACTGGCAATGCTCAAGAGCAGTATGCAATGCTGGGATTGTACTAAGGTCAGCCAGAAGCAGCTGCATGCAAGGCAAGTGCCTTCCCTCTTGTACTGTCTCTGCAGCCCTAGCATAGGGAGTCTTATAATATAGGGATGTTTATATAGCTATAGATATACAGATATCTGAACTTCCCTGATTTTTTTTAGTGTATGTATGTGGCCTTGTGAATCAAACCCAGGGCTTCAGAAGATGTACAAGGTCTGTACTTTACTACTGAGTCACATCCCCAGGGTTGAAAAAGTATTTTTTTAAATTTTAATTGAATCGCTGTGAGATACACTAGTTACAAAGATATTAATGATTGAGCTCCAGTCATACAATATTCCAACAATCATTCCTTCATCAGTGCATATTTTCTGCCACCAGTGTCCCTAGTTTCCCTCTCACTCCCAGCCTGCCTCTCTTCTTCTTCAACTTCTTCTTCTTCTTCTTCTTCTTCTTCTTCTTCTTCTTCTTCTTCTTCTTCTTCTTCTTCTTCTTCTTCTTCTTCTTCCTCCTCCTCCTCTCCTTCTCCTCTCCTTCTCCTTCCTCTTCCTCTTCCTCTCCTCCTCCTCCTCCTTCCTCCCTCCTTCACCTCCTCCTCCTCCTCCTCCTTCTTCCTCCTCCTCCTCTTCTTCTTCTTCTTCTCCTCCTCCTCCTCCTCCTCCTCCTCCTTCTTCTTCTTCTTCTTCTTCTTCTTCTTCTTCTTCTTCTTCTTCTTCTTCTTCTTCTTCTACTTCTTCTTCTTCTTCTTCCTCTTCTTCTTCTTCTTCCTCTTCTTCTTCTTCTTCTTCTCCTCCTCCTCCTGCTTCTTCTCCTCCTTCTTCTTCTTCCTCTTCTTCTTCCTCTTCTTAGTCTTCTTCTTCATCTTCGTCATCATTGTCTTCATTGTCTTTGTCTTCTTCGTCTTCTTCTCCTCCTCATTCTCCTCTCATTTTCCTTTCAAGCTATTGCAAATTATAGTTTGCAATGCTGTTAATGAAGTTAATAAATCACTTTACCTCCTTTCAGCACTCAGTTCTTGTCTAGAGTAATCATTTCCAACTACCATTGTCATAGTGATGATCCCTTCTCTGTCTGAAAAAAAAATTTTAATAATTTTTTTAAAAAATAAATAAATGATTTTGGTATGTAGATCTAACAACAAAAAATCATTTATCTGTAAATTAGATTTTACGCATAAAAAATTTATATGCAGGGGCTGGAGTGATAGCACAGCGGGTAGGGCGTTTGCCTGGCACGCGGCCGACCCAGGTTCAATTCCCAGCATCCCATATGGTCCCCTGGGCACCTCCAGGGGTCATTCCTGAGTGCAGAGCCAGGAGTAACCCCTGAGCATCGCCAGGTGTGACCCAAAAAGCAAAAAAAAAAAAATTATATACAAACAGTGGCATTTCTGTTTCTTTCGAGTCTTACTCCTGGCTCTCTCTTACTTCAGGGATCACTCCTGGCTCAAACCCAGATTAGCCACAATGCAAGATAAACACCAAAATCTTATCTCTTGGGCCGCACTATTTATTTTGAAATATTTTCTGTTTCTTTCTTTTGAAACATTTTCTTCCTCCTCCTCCTCCTCTACCTCTCTTCTCCTCCTGCTCCTCCTCCTCTTCCTCCATCTCTCCCTTTCCTCTTCCTTTCTTCCTTCTCCTTCCCCCTCTCTTTATCTCTCCCTCCCTCCTTCCCTTCCTTCTTTCTTTGCCTAACTATACTAACCATACTAACAAGTGGCAACCCAACAGAGTTGCATAGGAGAGGTGTTAGTGGCTCTCCTGGTCTTAACCATTTTCCTGTCCTTTGGATCTTCCAAGCAGAGTTTAGAGGCCAGAACCAGCAATTTTCAGCCAACCAGCAGTGCTCAGAGGAATGCAGTGCCAAGGATCAAACTCAGGGCCTCACACATGCTTGGCATGTATTCTACACTTGAAATAAATCTTTGCGCCTATAAATTTATGTTTTATAGATCCTTTTTACAGATTAAAGAATTTACCTAAACAAAGAAGTTCCTGTCTCCTTTTTTCTTACTAAAATTTATTTATATAGTAATTTCTGAATATTTACCTCCAG